GCTAAAAAAAAACTCAATCCTGCTCGATAACGCCAATGCTCGACTCGGCTCGGCTCGTTTGCACCCCTACCGTACACCTCACCAGTTTGTCCTTTAACAACCACTATACCCGGAGATTTTGATGGGCCCACACAAAGAACCGGTCAATCAGTTTTGATTATTTAATTAAATTTTTTTTTTGTAAAAAAAAAAAATTGCTCTGTACTCTGTAACACATGCGAATCGGAGAACAAATTTGGCGCGAAGAAATGGGATCACACGCCGCCGCCATGGATACCCTGAGCGAGCGCGCGGCCTTGTTGAGGGAATCGATGCAGAAAACTCAGGCCATTTCCGACAGCATGGTGTCCATCCTCGGCTCCTTCGACCACCGCCTCTCCGCCCTCGAGACCGCCATGCGGCCCACGCAGGCATAGATTTTCCTTCTCTCTCTCTCTCTCTCTCTCTCTCTTTTCTGCCAATTACAATGGGATTTTGAATTTTCAGCTGAAAACGCATTCGATAAGGAGGGCGCACGAGAATATCGATAAGACGCTAAAGGCTGCCGAGCTCATTCTTGAGCAATTTGATCGCTCGCGCAAGGTCTCGTCTCTGCGCTTTCGTGCTTTCGGTTTCTCCTTTGAAATTTGGTTTTGATTGGTTTGCTTTTAGCCCATTGCTTAATCAGTTAATTGTGCTTAGTGTATATGTTATAGTTTCTTTTAGGGATAATGCTTGAGCCCAACTGAAATTAACTCGACACTTGAGCCTGGGATTTAGTTTAACGTGTGGAGCTCGAACTTTTTCTCGTTTGATTTCAGTTTTTTGACTGGTTTGCTATTAGCCCATTGCTTAATTATGCTTAGTTTCTATGTTGTACTAGTCTTTTGGGAATAATGCTCGAGCCCTACTGCAATTAACTCAAAATTTGAGATGGGATTTTGTTTGAATGTGTGGAGCTCAAGCGTTAACTTGATGGCTATGGTCCCGATTAATAAATCTATGAGTGATTGAAATCGTGAATTAAGCCGAGTGTGCTTCTGTTTTCTGATGCAATATCGACCGTCTGCAGGCTGAGGCCAAGATATTGAGGGGACCTCATGAGGATTTGGAGAGCTATTTAGAAGCTGTAGATCAACTTAGAAGCATTGTTCGTTTTTTTACCGGAAACAAAGGCTTCCAGGGTAGTGTTGCGGTGGTTAACCAAGCCAATAATTTACTAACAAAAGCGATTGCCAAGTTAGAGGAAGAGTTTAGACAGCTTCTCACCTCATACAGGTCGCCTCATTTACTTATATGTTCGTTTACTTGCATCATATTGATTCTTTAATGTTTTCCTCATAAAGTTCATCTAGCAATCCATGCATGTATGCAATTTATTTGTCTGTATTATTCTCTGATATAGTTCATGTTGTGCATTTATTTATCTCTATCATATTGTAGTTCAGGTATGCATTTCATAGTCTGTGTCTTTCCATATATTGTATGTATAGTTACTTATGTATGTGAAAAGTTCTGATTTGGCCAACAATTTGTGCCTTTTTGTTTTTATTTTTACCGGGTACTTGCTTGATCTTTGTTTCGAAAAAAAAAAAATACATTGAAACCCAACAGTTTATCATTAATTTGATTATATAACTATTAATATTTTTGTACAACTACTCGGTTTTTATTTACTACGCCGTTGGTGACTAAATTACTTGGCTACATGATGAATATTTTTCTGTCTAATAAATCTAAAAGGAGCCCAGCTTGTTTTAGTCCAAATATCCCTCCAAGCCTATCGTCTTTAATTCCATTATTCCGAAACTTCTCCACATGAAGGCGTAACGAACTTATTCGATTAAGTCGATTTCAGCAAACCTGTAGAACCTGATCGTCTTTTCGACTGCCTGCCAAACTCCATGAGACCATCAACAGGGTCACCACGTGATAGTGAATCAAGTGGAAAGAAATCTTCTGACCAAGACAAAAATGCAGAAAATATCGTATATCAACTTCCAACTCTAATTCCACCTCGCCTTTTGCCTTTGCTGCACTCTATGATCCAGCAGATGATCCCAGCTGGCCACCAACAGCAGGTCATTATTATATACAGGTAACATGCAGATTAACATTTCATCTTGAAGCAAGGTTTATGATTGTCATGTCTATTCTGATCTGGAAGAGCTGTTCATATATGTTTGTTGTAGTTTGGTAAGTGATGATAGCTTCATGAACTCGTGAATACCAACTGCAGGTAAAGCATTGTTTTCATGGCAATCTTAGGTGTGCTCTTTCTTTCCTGAATGTAATGTTAAATCAATAATTTCAAGTCACCATTTATTGAAGTTTTAATTAATTACATTTGTCATAAGCTTCGTTAAAACGTAATTAAGTCATTAGCTTCGTTAAAATGTATATTGTAGAGTATCATGAAAATATTTATTTAGCCTCGTTAGCTTTGATTAATTACATTTTTTGTAATGATAATAACTGCTGGGGGGATGCAATGGAAATACTATTTGACAATGTAACATAATTAAATGAGCTGGAAAACTTATGAGAAAACCCTTCATCCATAAGCTTAGATAATTAACTAGCTGAAATATTTTGTTTATAACCTGTGATACATCTGAAGCCAAACACCTAGTAGATCTTATACATTCTACGTCATTGTTTTTGCACTTACTCAGATGTGATTGTCATCTCAATTTTCATCTAGGGAAGCTCGATCTTTAGCCCTTGAACAAACATTAAAGAAACTTGGTGTTGAAAGACTTAGTAAAGAGGACGTACAAAGGATGCAATGGGAAGTCCTAGAAGCAAAGATAGGGAACTGGATTCATTTCGTGCGGATTGCTGTAAGGAATTTACTAACATTACAGTTGTTGGTTTAATTTCATCTCCATTTTTTTCCCCAGTTCTTCTTTCGAAAAACCTCTATGATCGTGCCCCGAACAGGTCAAGCTTTTGTTTGCCGGTGAGAAAAAATTGTGTGACGAGATTTTCGCGGGTCACGATAATCTCAGGGACCAGTGTTTTGCTGAGGTCACGACAAACAGTGTGGCGATGCTCCTCAGTTTTGGAGAAGCTATTGCTAAGAGCAAAAGATCACCAGAGAAGCTGTTTGTCCTCCTGGACATGTATGAGATTATGCGAGAACTCCAACCGGAGGTATGTTGGAACTTAGAAATTTGTGGATGTGAACTGTTTCTCTTATAGATTTTTGACTTTTAGCTCATATGAACATGGTCTAACCATATCTGTCACTGTTTTAGAAAATAAGATCTTACAATAGTTTCAAACTTGATGTGATGTGACTTTGGATGTTGAAGCATTTTGGTTAGAGGAACATAATGTGGTTCTAATTTTCTTTATAAAATTGTAATCAACTCTTATAAAAATAAAAATTATGTTATCTGGGAATTCACTCTGTTACTGTTTTCAGTAAAAATTGTTTGGTCAGTGAAAATGTGATAGCTGTCTTAAAGAGCCCTCTATTTTTATTTGACACGTCATGAATTTTGTCAGATGGATGGCATATTCGGAAGTAAATTCTGTGGTGAAATGCGGGAAGCTTTCGTGGTTCTCACAAAACGCCTGGCCCAGACTGCACAAGAAACATTTGGTGATTTCGAAGAAGCAGTTGAAAAGGACGCCACAAAAACTACCGTTCTTGATGGAACAGTCCATCCTCTTACCAGCTACGTGATTAACTACGTGAAATTTCTATTTGAGTAAGTTTAACCCGACAATCACAACATTTTTTTCCCTCATCTGTTAATCTGATAACGGCTTACAGTTGGTTTATTGGTTTATTTTACTTAGTTATTATTTTTTTTATGTGGCACTTTCAGCTATCACTCAACTCTGTTGCAACTCTTTAGAGAGTTTCATGACATTAATGCAGAGGAGCAGTTGGCGAAAATAACCACGCGAATAATGCAGGCTCTTCAGACGAACCTCGATGGGAAATCCAAGCAATATAAAGATCCCGCCTTGACCCAGCTGTTTCTGATGAACAACATGCACTACATTGTGAGATCCGTGCGCAGGTACATGAAATTCTTTACAATATATATATAACTGATCTTTAAAACAGCCCTCCTAAAAATTTTTCGACAAAAGTCTCGATGACATTTTTTTCTCACGTAAGGTCCGAGGCGAAAGACCTGTTGGGCGATGATTGGGTGCAGATACATAGACGAGTAGTACAACAACATGCTAATCAATACAAAAGGATTGCTTGGTCAAAGGTATTATAATATCTAACTATACTCGAATATTTTCTGAAGTTTGTAAAGATTAAGATTGATTGAATCTTTGCATGAAAACAGATTCTGCAGTGCCTCACGATTCAAGGGGCACAGCCAGGTGATGGGGGCAGCTCGGCTGGTGTCTCACGAGCTATGGTTAAGGACAGATTCAAAAACTTCAACATGCTTTTTGAGGAGATTCATCAAAGGCAGTCCCAATGGACGGTACCCGACAGTGAACTACGAGAGTCCCTGAGGCTTGCAGTTGCCGAGGTTCTTCTGCCCGCGTATAGGTCTTTCGTTAGACGATTCGGGTACTTACTATTTTTTTATATTTCCTTTTGTGTTAATGAGTATTTCTATTATTACGAGCTGACCAGGGTTGATGCTTGAACCTTACTTGGGTTAGGCCTATGATTGAGGGTGGGAAAAATCCACAGAAGTACATCAGGTACAGCCCAGAAGATCTGGAAAGAATGCTGGCAGAGTTTTTTGAAGGGAAGACCTGGAATGAACCAAGGCGTTAAATTTTTCATTAAGTTAAATATTATACAGATTTGTATTCATTAATTCATTCATTTATTTATTTGTTTATTTATTTATGTCCACAGTTCATTATTTATGTTCACAGTGGATTATTATGATGACAGTTTTGTAGAGAAAATAAATAAATAAAGCAAGTAAAACTCCAACAACCAGGTTGTTTCTGTGTATATTTCGTATTCGGTATTTTCAAAGAGTATTACATACTTTGAGCAAACAAAAACAGCCGAGTCGAGCATTTGCCTATCGAGCATTTTTTTTACTTGTTTTAGTTCGATTTGTGATGCTCGAGATCGACTTGACAAAAGAAGACAACTGTTCGAGTTCGGCTCGAGTCGATTGAAAAAGTGTTTGAGCTTGGCTCGAGTTCGGCTCAAATTTCAAATAAATTCTTATTAGTTACATATATAAAACATTGTAATATTTATATTATATTGTACATTTCTTGAGCCGCTCACGAGCGGCTCGATTTTTCAAAATTTATGTTCGAGATCTACTCGATAACATGCTCAATCTACTCGAGCTCGATTTGAGTTCGGTCAAACTCGAGCTTGAGTCGAGCTTTGACTCGAGCACATGCGATGCACTCGGATCGTTTGCAGTCTTATTTGAGAGCACCTATTCATAACAAGTTACCTCCTCCTCAAATTGAATTCTCTTAAAATGTTGAAAATCTTTCTAGCATATATAGAAGACCATTCCACACTTATATATAGTTTGTTACATTTTTAACTTCCTTTAATTTAATAACTCCAAAATTCTCCAAAATTGACACGTTAAATATGAAAAGACTAGTTTTTATGATTGAGAAAAGGAGTAAATGATGAAAAAAAAAAAAAACTTATTTCATCTTCAATCAGCTCCAATATTTCCCTTCGCCCCCTCAACTTTTGCTAATTCACAAATAAACCCACTTACCAGTGGTCCTGTATCAGATTCGGAAAAATTAGAGATTTGGCCTTTAAGTGGCGTCGATTTGAGGTTTAGTCCTTTAACTGACCAACTTTTAGAAAA